GTAGCAGTTAAGTCAACTAGTCAGTAAGAAGAAAAATAAATCGTCATTAGAAAAATCCGTCTTTGTTTTGCACCATCATCCACGGTTATACAACATCGCCTACAGTTTGGTCCATAGAGCCGGATCAGCACCCTCAATACGTAGGTCGTACGGTACAAGCACCATGCACTCAGCTTCGGCTTGTTTTCCTTTGCGTTGAATTTGACGTTACAAAGTAGCTGAAGAAGTAAAGTAAAGAAAGAATACACAAAATGTCAAATTACCTTTAGTACTAGAAATCGATACCTATTGATATTTACATAAATGTAGACAAACATTTATCTAATGCAATGTTATTATCAATTGACTTGACAACTTGAGGATACAACTTGAGATATTTAAGCTATTTCAATAAAAGTCACAAGAGGATAAAACATATGAATATATACTTAATAGGCTAGTGATAAAAATGTAGGTTCAACTAATATAGCTCATGGCATCTTTATTTACACAGAGTAAACTTACTAATACCGACTGTAACCGAAACTAAGATTGAAATTTATAATCATTCTTGTTTAAAAGGCTGTACTTCAATCATAATTTCTGTCTTCGTCGGAATCAAAAGTTATACTTTGTGCTAATATGAATAGAATAGAGTTTATTTATTCTTCCACATAAACGTAAGTAAATACAATTCTACTAATCTTAGTCTAAAATATTTGACAAACCGTTATGTGGGAGAGTGGAGCCTGAAAGAGGTTTTTATTTAAACCCGTATGAATAGATCAATAGCGCTCACCGAATTAATTCGAGCTTTAAAGCTTATTTATATTTAAAAAAAAAATCAAAGAAGAGAAGCAGGAAATGTTTACACTACATTGGCTAAAATTATATAATGAAAACAAAACCTCTAGAAATAGTCATTCGATAGCTGTAAAAGTGTATACTAGAGTGGTCAAAAATTAGTAATTTAAACAAAAATTTAAAACGGTTAATCGAGTATTATTTCTATAGTTTAAGTTAGTTATTTGTCTATAAACCTTGATATATAATTATGTATTTGTACTATCTAGATGTGACATTGTAAATTTTAGTTGTGATGACAGGTGTAATAATTATATATTTTATAACGTTGGTTAATATATGTAGGTATGGACATTCATAATTTTGGTATTTTAAAGTATTATATTTAATTGTAACTTTTCAATTATGAAATTATTATTTTAAATTCAATTTAATTACTATTGGCTGACAATTTTATAATTTGCATGCCCAAACGGCGTGAATATGTTTTGTGCTAGTAATAAAATTAGGATCCCATTTTTATACCACATTCTTACAAATAAAATCTTCTTATTCTTAGAAAAGTATTGAATAATGCTTACATAGATATATATCTTTTGTATATACCTAAGTGTGTATGTGTGCTAGAATGTTGTCTGTGTATGTGCGTATACTGTGAGTGCTGCGTGTGTATATTAGTGCGCCATATTGGAACTTATAGAAATATCTGAGTGAAATAAGCCTTCTATTATTGTGGAAATTTTAAACACTTTTTATGGATTCGTACCCAAAGGGTAAAAACGGGACCCTATTACTAAAACTCCGCTTTCTATCCGTATATCGCCAGTCTGTATCTCATGAGCTGTAATAGCTGAACAGTTGAAATTTTCACAGATGATGTCGCATATGTTGTCACTATAACAAAAGCTATCTAAAACAGAATACAATAGATACTTAAGGAGAGTTCTCATACAATAAACGTTTTTTTGCGTTATAAGTAGAAGATACGGAAAATTCTGTGCGTGAATCCGACTTGCTCTTGACCGGTTTTTTCATAAACTTTAAGACATTATAGTTTTTAAGTTTCAAACTGAACCATTTCCCCTCTGATTCTGCCTTGCAAAAAAAATTGGAAAATAATAGAATATCGAAATCCTCTTTATTACAGTTATTGGAAATCTATGGTTTTTATTATGATATCCGCATTAAAGTCAAAGTCAGGTCAAGTCAAAAGTCAAAATAATCTTTATTCAAATAGACTTCTTAAAAGTACTTTTGAATCTAAATTGCCATCATCATCATCATTTTTTTTTTACGTGCACACTCGGGGACTAAGGCGTTTATGGATAATCCTCCACACTGGCCTAATGCGGATTGAAGGGTACTAACGACTGCAAATGCAGCCAGGATCAATGACTTGACGTGCATTCCAAAGCAAGGAATAGCTCGAGATTATTTTTTTTGTCACCCATCCCGTGACCGACCTTTGCGAAAGTTGCTTAGCAACAACGCTCGCGAGCCGCGGCGCTTATCTTACTCCACTTTGCTACTACCTGTTTGATTACTGCGTTTTACGGTGTAGCCAGTCATTTTTTAAGGAATATTTAATTTGCGTCAACAGAACGTTGAAAAGCGCCGGGGCTCGTTATAATTTTGATAAACGTATATTCAGAGTACAAAGGACAAAGTAGATTTTTCAAGCATTTTTATTGTTAATAAAAGTTTAAAAATATATGTAAAAACATTTCTTTCGGCTGATTGGGTGGATTGTCTGAACATTGATGAAAATACGCTCTGTTGTAGCGAAAAAGTAACAAGTGCTTAAAAAATTGGTCAGTCCTGGGTAGCAGTGGGTAAAGCAGTCACCCGGACTGCGAAAGTTCGTGAGTTCCAATCCCATCTCAGATTACCAGGGACAAAGTGAATTCTTAAGCATTTTTCATCATCATCAGCCCTTTTACGTCCCCACTGCAGGGGCTCAGGCCTTCCTTATGGATGGTTAAGGAGGATGGGCCATGACCCTCCACGCTGGCCCAATGCGGATTGGAGGGTATTAACGACTGCAAGTGCAGCCGGTACCAATGTCTTAACGTGCCTTCCGAAGCACGGAGTAGCTCGAGATAATATTTTTTTTTGGTCACCCATCCCGTGACCATCCCTTGCGAAAGTTGCTTAACGACAACGATCGCGGGCCGCGGCGCTTATCCACTACGCCACCGAGCTAAGCATTTTTCATTTGGGAATATTTTCTAGTGTAGCATTGTGAATGCAAAATTTATTTATTATAATAACTGTACATTTATAACGGCTGCGGTTTTGAACGTGAGGCGTTTGTAAAATGAGATGAGCCGATAATCCGTAGGTCGGGTAAACTTTATGTGGGATGATTGACGTCACGTTCGATGATGGCCGTCACGAAATATGTCCTGCCATTTTGCAATGCGTCACGGCACTTAATATATTGTCACATCTCACTATTGAATGAAAAATGATTTTTAATTTCAGCTTCTATAAATCACCGGAGGTAACTTAGTTTTAGTAACTTGTATGAATCAGCAATCGGCATATTAATCACTTATCGAAAATATCTCTTTTATTTCTAATATTGTAATGGAATGTGACTTCATATTCTAATGAAGTCACATTTCAATAAGACTTCTCTGTGTGAAATAAAACACGGGAAAAGCAGCCCTTGCTGAGTTTCTTGCCGGTACTTCTCAGTACAAGGTCTCCTGCCGTAGTTTTGCGAACCAATGGCGTAGCTTTCGACTTTCACAAGTGCTCTGTAAAAGCATCAACTAAATAAACAATTTTGTTTTTTTTTAATTTAACTTTAGACAAATTTTAGATAGATTTTAACAAAATAAAATAATACCTGCGGGAATAAGAGATTTGGATACAGATTCACAAGCCGGTTTCAAATATTGTCGTCTCTAAAGTCCTAAATATGATCCCGCCTGGGTCAGTATAGAAATCGAACTTTAAATATTGATAAAATAAAGCCGCCTTTTTCATCTATGTATCTAATTACATGTGGTTTTATATTAATGTTTTACTTTGAAATAAAGGATATTACATACATTCATTTCGTATACAAGTATATTCATTCATTTTCTCATTCATTAATTGTTTATACTTAATGCAATTTCCAGCTTGCAACACCTTTACAAGATTTAACGGATAGATCCAGTTTTTTTAAATATAATAGTAGCCGTTTTCCCGCGTCTTCACCCGCGTCAATTGTAACCTATATCGCCTGCGTATGATGTAACTTTCCGCAGGTGAAAGAATTTTCGTGATCGGATCTGTATTTCCAAACATCACCCCCGAAAAACTGTTATGTCCGTGACTATATAATTAATAAAACAACATATATTTAGTGACAAAAAAACAAGGTAGACAAAAGGAGCAACGTTTATGCCTGAAAAATAGTTCATCATCATCATCAGCGGGTACTTATCATTAGTATAAAATTGCTTACTATAAAATGATAAGTACCCGCTGATACTTTTCTATTATACATCACACAAACAAATAAAATTAGAAACTTTACCTCTTTGTAATATTAGTATAGAAAGGTAGGTATTAGATATAAAGTTTATATTCAAAAATCTCTAGAATTTTCAAATCTTAAGATTTTGAGATTCTGTGTGTAAGAGGGATACACATTATTGATGCGAGAGTTATAATAAAAAGTGTATATTTTATGTAGTCACTACAGTAATAAAGTTCATAAACTTATTTAAACACTGAGTCTCTTTATACTTATAAAATTATAGAAAAGGAAAGTAAAGCTATGGTAAAATAATGGTAGTAGAAAGTATGGCGAAATGGTATGAGTACGCGCGATTGATACAACGATCGGTTAAACACTAACTTTTGCTAAAAACAAGAGACATTGCAAAACATAATTAAAAATAATTATCGAATATTGCTGACGCGTGTTACCTACTTACTACAGTTCAATGTGCGGTCGAGACCGTACACTGTGTTTTCAACAGTTTAGTTACTGTCAGCAATTCGCGATCGCAAATTCATTAGCCGAAATTAACTTTAAAAGGTTGTTATACTAACAAAAACCCGATTTTAAAATAATAAAAAAAAAAACATCTCACGAGACGAGCCCGTAAAACAATCTCACGCGCATGACTTGACGTCACGTTGTCGTGAACTGGTCTAAGCTTACTTTGCGTCAACATTCTGGTTTCCGATCCTCGGAGGCTGTTGGTTTCAAGTTAGTTCAACAATCTGTTCAAGTGGTGTTGGTGGTGTATAAGTTAATTAAGTGACATACTAAATATCGGACTCGTAAGCATATGTTAGAGGTAAATTATTGATATAATTGTTTTTTTTTTCTATACAAATATAAGAATCGAAATATACGGTATTAACGGTTTAGCATAGGAAGAATATTAATACACATACATACACTATAGTAAATAGAAGAAATTGAGAATATGTTATAATTATAACTTGGCAGATACTTGTCATTTGGATAAAAATATGTGCTTAAGTAATTACTTCTACTCGGCTATAATTACTAGTGTAAATATAATTTTTTAATATCAAGTTACATAATTATGTATAAAACTATCTATAATGGCGATGTACAGTAAAACTCATTGCATTTTTATGAAACTGTAGTATTTTTAATGAATAAAAAACATACCTTTTAATGTCTATATTATTCTTTAACTCTATATTTTAAATATTAATTATATGTCCATTAATTAATTACAAATTATGTAACTTATCATAATTATTTTATGTTTTGATCTTCCTAAACATTTTTTTTTATTACATTACGTATTCTTCTAGGTGTTGAATATTCAAACAAAGACATCTTAATTTAAATATTAGCAGTGGTTCTTGTGTCAGACAAAGACAATATCTTTATTGAAACTTTTCCCCACCTATTTCAACATAGATTTAGATGTATATGTCAGTAGACTAAACTTTAAAAAGAAGAGGTTAATTAGATGTTTATGCACTAAACTGAAGTGAATTTCTTGAAAATCGCCTCACTGACCTTGGGCAGACAAAGAGGAAGGAATATAACATATGTATTTAAAAAATAATGCAACCAATAGTTATAATACCCCATCTTACTTCTTTTATTGATTTTAAATAGACTTCACTTTGAAGGTGTTTATTTATTCGATAATTGATTTGCTATATACTACTTAAAAATATATTTTTCATTGGCTATTTATTTCGCAAATATTCTAATGTCTTTATTAAAAAAATACTCGTACATATATGCAAGACTGCTTAAAGTAAGTCCTTTGATTGAAGACTCACGTAAATTGTATATTACTCTTTAAGTATAGTATTTATCTGTAATAATGTCTGAAGCAGTGTATCTTCTCTGATGACGTCAAAGTGGGGCTTTAACGGACTACAGTTTGAGAATTGCTGATGTCTGTAGTATTTATTATTGGCCAATATACAAAAGCTTCAACACCCACGCTTCATCTTACAGAATAAAGCGAAGTATCGTACAAAATTTTAGTACCGAAACAATAAAATTTGATTTTCCTTTCAGCATTTAAATTAGTTTCTTAATTACTAAAATCACCTTATGAATAATGTCACAATTATATGGAAAATACCATATAATTGTGACATTATTTTGGTACTTTATCCAATAAAACCTTAAAGGTAATTAATTACTCTGTTCATGATTAAGTTCCATAATTAAAAGATGTTGAAATTTCATTTTTATTGAAATTAAATTCTGAGTTTTATTTATATAACGAAATTTGAATTGAATTTCTTTTTCCTTATCATTTTAATGTGTAAATATCAAACAAAACTTTAGATTTTTGAGATATTATCGAACTTGTTGTTACATGATGTTTAAATTAGCCTCAACCGAAGGTGGTAGACGCATTTTGATCGAATTTACTTCATTATCAGCCCTTTTACGTCCCCACTGCAGGAGCTCGGGCCTTCCTTCTGGATGGTTAAGGAGGATGGTCCATGACCCTCCACGCTGGCCCAATGCGGATTGGAAGGTATTAACAACTGCAAATGCAGCCAGGACCAACGGCTTAACGTGCCTTCCGAAGCACGGAGTAGCTCGGGATATTAATTTTTTGGTCACCCATCCCGTGACCGACCCTTGCGAAAGTTGCTTAACTACAACGATCGCGGGCGCGGCGCTTATCCACTACGCCAACGAGCTACTGACTGTACTTATACTCTCGGAAAAAGAGCATCATCGGCAGCCTATTAATGTATCCACTGGTGGTGTTAGGCCTTTTCTATGGATGGAATCGAATAGGGAGAATGGAGCCCACAACGCGGTCCCAGTGCGGATTGGTTGTGTTACAGAATGCAGATGCAGCCTGTACCAACAAATTAACGTATCTACCGAAGCAAGTAGAAACTCAAGATAATAAAATTTTGATCACCCATCCTTTGACCGGTTCTAGCGTGTTACAGTAGAGTAGCTTCAAAACCGTATCGCAGACCGAGCATGGTAACCACTACACCAATAAGCCTTGGATTACACTTAAACATATTCTAAATCAAAGAATTGAATATTTAATGTTAAGTAGATATCAAACTATACTTGAACTTCACTTAAACAGGTTTTAGTTTCTGATTTTCGTTTTTTTTTAAATACCACTTGATAGCAGTTTGACAAAAACTAGGACTTTTTGCCTGATCAAATGTAAATAACTTAAGTTGTTGACAAAAATCAGTTGAGATATTGCAATTTTTCAATTCAGAAATCTGTCGAAAGTCTATTTGAATCTAATTGATAATAAAGAACATACTTCATGCATCTTTTACAAATGTGTCTTATTGCCAAGTGTCTTCATCGTTATATCCCTGGTTTCAATTCTGGATCAATGTTAAATACGAACTTTTTGTATTATCTCAATTATACATAAGTGCCGCAGACCGATTCTACTGATTTAATAATAGCATCTCAATATAATCTCAACGACTTGCATTTTCCCATTGTACTATATACCTAAAGTCCAATATTGTTAGTGCAATATCTTCCTCGCATATCTATGATGACAGTTATATAACAATATTGGGCTTCAGGTAGATAGTGCAATGGCAAAATGTAAGTAGTTGCACCTTCGTTATTTCTTACGACTACACAAAGACTTTAGGTACTAAGTTTTAAATCTGGCTGTTTGTGTTACAAAATAATGTCTTAAATAATTCTATGATTGATTTCTTGTATTTTTATACGCACTATCCATAAATGAAACAACTTTTTAACATCGCGTTTGTATTTAGTGCAATATCTTCCTCACACATCTCTTATGACAGTTATATAACAAAATTGGACTTCTGGTAGATAGTGCAATGGCAAAATGTAAGTACAATAGTTGCACCTTCGTTGTTTCTTACGACTACACAAAGACTTTAGGTACTAAGTTTTAAATCTGGCTGTTTATGTTACAAAATAATGTCTTAAATAATTCTATGATTGAATTCTTGTATTTTTAAGCGCACTAACCATAAATGAAACAACTTTTTAACTGTTACATCGCTCTTTTATCAACACTTTAGTACTTATATGAATACGGAACTAGTTTAAAATGCAAAAAAGCAATGACACCGTATAAAATTTGTTTCACATATTAATTCTATGATTATTTAATTTTAATTTTTGTGAATATATAAAATAATCTGTTTGTTAAGCTTACTACAACTTACACAAGAATACGGGGCAGTACGCTAGTATCTAATAAAATTAATTGCTCGGTCTGTGTATACCATACGCCAAACATGACCCAAAATATTCGTGTATCCATGAATGCGTAATCGTTTTTTATAAATAAGTTACCGACTGACCGAACCCAATTAAGGGGTTTAGGGTAAACAAAGACGAGTACCGGGATACGTCTTCACTCCCGAAATATCCGAGGTCGGCGACCCAAAAACTAGGTTGGAAACGATCAAATCATAACTATAAAAAAATGGAAAGCGCGAATCGGACTCGGGCAGGAAGAATTCCGTACCCTCAACTTGTAAAAACGCGAATAACACTAGTCTTCACTAACGTAGAACAAGATAGAATCTAAATCTTCTGAGGAGATTAGTCCAAATATACATTTTTTTCTTTTATGCCTCAAATCATTTGTGATCTGTCTTATTACGTAAATACCTTTTTTTTTTTTTTTGACACTGAGAAATGCATTCCGCATGTCCGCTCCCCCCATGCGCTGGGGTTCACGGGGTCTGTGGGACTCCTCCTGTGGTCCCGCCCCCAGAGTGGGGGCTAGACAAAATACAGGAGTTTACCCACTAAAACTCAGCGATGTCCCTCTCATGGTGGGCGAGGCACGGGATCGGCCCGAAGGCCATACACCGTGCAGATTACGTAAATACCTAATCAAAGGCACTGCACTCACGTCACAACTTTAGACATTGCTTAATGTCGTCAGGTGGTTCCTAGTCATTGGTGAAATGCATTTTCATCTTAGGCAATTCCTAAATATTTAGGAGATTCCTAAGTTCAGTGGAAACGGACATTACTCACGCTAGTTGTATGGAAACCCCTAAATATTTATTTTATTCTGTTTTTAGTTTTTGTTGTTATAGCGTAAAAGTAATACATTAGCTGTCCAAATTTTCATAAAACCACTATTCATAAGATACAGCCTGGTTGGTTTGTATGTATGATAAGCACCACGCTGGCGGGAAGCTAGATTTTCTATCAGATAAAATATATAAAATTACTAGGTATCCAGCGACTTTACCCACATGGTCCCTAGAGAACCTAATGGACTAAAAAGTAGCCTAAATATTGATTCAGGCTTAAAATTATCCGTATACAAAATTTCATCAAAATTAGTTCAGCAGACTTTCCGAGAGTAACAAACGTACATATATCCTCACAAACTTTTGCATTTATAATATGGATGATCCTTAATCAGTTTTTTTCAAGTTTCATAGGCCTATATCACTTTTTATGCTTAAGAGGGCGCATATCACACATCAATAATCACTAACTTTTAATTGGTTTTGTACGAATAAATAACGCCCAAAAAACTAAGATTAAAAAATGACAATGCATTTCTAAAGGTTTTATCACAGTCAGAACGTAAAACATCATAAAGTTATCCCTAATATTCACTATATTTTCTTGTAATGATACTTTCTTTTTAAAGGGACAGTTAGTATTTATGTGAGTCAGTTTGTAACTGAAGGATATACGCAACCAGTGGCGTAACTACAGGATGGCAAGTCGACAAAATGCCACGGGCCCCCAGCTGGAAGGGGCCCCTGGTTAGAGGAGACTTCTTACTTCTTATATTTATTATTACACAATTAGTAAAAAATAATAGAATATCCGATGAATTTGCCACGGGCCCCAAACGGTATAGTTACGCCATTGTATCCAACACTTTTACGGTAATCGTAATGGTTTGCAAGTAATTAATTAAAAAAGGTTTTGGATGTGCAACCTACGTCATGCTCTATCCCAATCTGTGATTGAAAGGGGCGTTGATTTTGTCTCTCAGCTCAGCCTGATCGGGTAGTTTTGTAATACCTGTATTCTTGTGTAAAATATTTTTTTTTATAAACATTATTTCATTATTGTTGCAGAATGCCGGCACTCCGGCTGCTCGGGCGCAAATGGTTGGCCGCATCTGATGACCTCGTGTTTCCGAGTATATTCGAGCTTCTCTTCAGATTCGTGTGGTAATTATGCCTTGTTTATTATCTTCGGTCCAGTGGCTCATACAACATTCTAGCGTAGCCATCTCCGAGGTTCAGCCCTGCGATTCTGTAAAAAATCAGACCCGAATTCGAATTCACTCATGTGGCCGAATTTACGTCCTTTAGTTTACAAATTTTATTTTTTGTATAAAAATACAAAATTGATTGAATATACGTCTCTCAAAAAATTTTATTTCTTTGTCATTTCGAAACTCGCTTCACTTATGCCACGAAACATTATTATTACTTATTCAAGATAGAGCGGATGCCGTTTTTTGAAGTGAATTCGGACGACTGAGTGAATTCGTATTCGGATTTGGATTTTTACAGAATCGCAGGGCTAATTCAATTTCCCTCCGCTTAACTGGATTGTCTGAATTCAATCAAAATGCAATCAGATTTCATACTTAACAGTAGTGCTATTCTGTTTTAAAAAACACAACAGTCTCGAATTCATCGTCATCGAACACAGCACTTTCACTAATATAGAGCCCAAACCTACTTTAAAAGATAATAAAGTTTTTATTTCATTAAAGCTCTATGACGTCATAGCGTTGCGTACGACGACGAATTTTAGGCATTTAAAAAATATCATAACTATTCAGCATTTTATTCATCCTTGTCTAACACAGTATTTGGACACTATATGTGTGTAGGTAATATAAATACATATATGGTGTGAAAATATTCATTAGATTACCGCGATATATAATATAAAATTTCCTAATGTATAAATCTGGAGATCTAGCGGCACAAAATATTTATTTTAAAATACTTGATTATCTCGTTCCGCCAGAAACTGTCCGTTAAGCAAGCATACGCATATTTGAATGCTTAATGTGACTCGTCTTATATTTCAATTTTATTAATTGGTTTCATTAATATTTTTAAAAAAATGTTCATATCCCCTTTCAACGTTAATCTTAGTTCTGCTATCTGCATTTTTTTTAATCATCAATGACGTACTTTTCGGAAAGGAGATGGTTCCGGAGATACGGTGCTATGTTTGTGGAAATGCTGCTAGTCGGTCAAAAGCAATTCCCACAAATTCAAGGCACTAAGTGACGTCACACAGTGCAACGGTAGCGAAATTGGTATGGGCTTTTGGACAACCTTTGTTATATCGTTTTAGGTAACTAATTTAATGCCAGCTATATTTTGTAGTAAATTTTCCCAACTTTTTTCAAGTTCAAAGCGTATTTATATTTTCCGAACATATAACAAAAATCTGTATTTTCATTTATAGCGTACATGCCTATTAGATGTATAGGTACCAAGATATAAAAGACATCCTAATGATTTGTGATCGAAAGTAAGAATATCTAGAGATCAAGAGAATATATCATCATATTTTTAAGGTTTTATTCACAAACAAAACAGGAATTTAAAAGGTTTTTTTCCGTAGAAAAACATAAATATGTTATTCCTAAATTCACAAACTTCGTATTCTTTACAAGATAATATCTATTTTTATAGAGTCAATTTATTAGTATTTCAACTAAGCTATTTTCTTCCAGTTTATAAATAAAACAACGATTACGTAACGTTTGTGTTCATAGTATAAGATTTAAAATAGAAAAAGGGTGTAATAAACGGCAGATGAGTGTGAAACAATGCATGGTGCTTGCACAGCCTGTCGGCCTGTCACATCACAGCCCCTCTGAGCCACAGCTTAATCTATGACGCAGTAACATCAGTTTAAAAAGATAAAATCATTATTGTCTATTTCACTATACTAGTATTTTATAACGCTCATATAATTTTAAACCACTATCGGATTTTTTTGTTCAAAAGAAGTATAAAGGAAAAACATATTATTCATTTTTCATTGATTTGAAATGCCCGCAAAATAAATCAGCCACATGATATTTTGATCGATGCCCATGACGTCACATTTCAAAAAACATAAATACTGGATGTACGACGTTTTATTAATTATATTTATAAAGCCTTGCTTATTTGTGATATTAATACACGGACAAATTGAAATTACGTCGAAATTCCTTTAAATATAAGAATTTAAGCAAACAAACACTCGTAAACAAAGACGCTGACGTTTAGTTTATTAAAATGTGACGCCACACGAAACTCCGTCATGTCCGCCCGCCGGATAACCGCAGAATATAAATCACAATTTAATTTTGCAAAAATAAAATAAACTTGCAATTTATTTTAAAGCGAAAATATGTTATTGTTTACATATACGTAAGTTTTTTCAACATATTTCATAATTTATTGTTATAACTGTCAAGTAGTGAATTCCATTAGTCAATTTGTTCTTGCATATCGTTAGTGTAAAATGTTTGAATACGTAGGAATAAGCAGTTAGAGCATTAGACTATTCTAATTTTACAAATTGTTGTTATTGTTAACGTGAATGTTACTACAATACTTAACATTATTCTTTCGTCACCTCCATTGAGTGGCCATTAACAATGAATTGAAGAAGCAATTCGATGATAGAAATCTAAACATTTTTTTATTATTGTACCTAGAAGAATTGAAACAAAGCATTAAATAAGTAAAAATTAAAAAACCAATTTAATGACATTATCAATCAAATGTTATTACTTGGAAGAATAAAAAGAATTAAGAATACAAAGGGGATTTGTGTCGCAATATGTATCGTAAATAGCTTACATAATCCTAAAAGAAATATGATTTAAAAATAAGTGACAATATCGACAGAACTTATATAGAAAGAGGTCAGATTTTAAATTAACATATTTTTGCATTGTAGTTAGATCCGGCCCTGGGGTTATATAGAATAGGTTTTTATTTGGCATATACACAATGAGGAAGTATTAAAAAAAACGAAAGCACTAAAAAGCACCTCCACTAGATGGCGACTCTAGCAAAAGTTGATTTTTACAGGAAACGAATGGACCAAAGACAGTCATTTCCGTTCCTTTTAACTAACTTTTAATATTAAAAAATGAAATTTGAAAAGTTCGAAACTTAGATATCAATTCAAATACGAAAAGTTACAAATAGAATATGAGTTGTTTATAAAGTTTTGAAAACTAATTTACTTTTAAACTTGAAAGAAAACCGGCAAGGTTGTCATCGAGTAATCAAGAACGTAGCGACATCTAGTTTGATTTCGGGAACTAATTTTTTTTTAATACTTCCTTATTTACAACGCGTACTACGTAAAAACGATACAGAAGTATATGGATAGCGGTATTCATCATTTTCTTTCAACGCTCACGTAATAATTCGTGTCATTAAGCGGTTTTTCGCCAGCCCTAGAAACAGTTTATATCTATAGTCACGTGACATAAGCACCTTTAGCTTAACTGTGAAGGTGCAAAGGTGCATTTTGATCTATAATAATTATTACCGCAATCTATTCTCTCTTTTTAACAATCTTATGCTTACACAGGTAGTTATATGTCTTCCCCAGTCTAGAAAACTAAGCTCTTTGTTACGGTTACATTTTATGTTTTAAGTTATCTATCAAATATCTCAATTTTGATCGGTCGGTGAGTTTGGTCAACATTCACAAAGGCAGATTAGTGATCATTGAACTCCTATATGTTTCGGAAAGCACGCTTAGCCGTTAGTTCCGGTTGGATTCATCATTCACAATTATTTACATCTACTTATCCACATTTGGTCCGCCTCATGTAAAACGCTCTTTATCCTATATTCTGTTTATATAAAACTTTTTTTTTTGTATAAGAACATTGCTCAAATCCTAAGAAGACAGCACTCGTATGAAAGGAGTATTTCAAACAACGGAGGTTCTAAATGTACCTGCTCGGGAATCGAACCGGAAACCTTATTGAGTTCCTGTTGATTTAAAACAGCTAATTTTCATTACAATCACTACTGACATTATCGCAAAATAGTCATTATTATACTTATTTAATAAATTTTACATTCACAATGCTATACTGAATAATTTTTGCATTTGCTACTTTATCCGCTGTTAAAACTATGCTATGGTTTTGAATAAAAGTGTAGGTACACTGTTGTAGACTCAGTCGGCAAAATAGATTACGAATGGTGAACATTCTTAACCAACTATCAATTTCAATGTATGAAGTTAAGATAAATCGATAAAAACAAACACAAAAGGAAATTCCATGAGACGAGGTCAGTGTCCGCTAGCAAATATAAAGTACCTGCCAAACTAATTATATTATCAGTAAGATAAAACATTAATATCACTATTATTAACAACGATCACTATTAAAAAAATCGGTCTAATGTGAGTCGGATTGACGCACGAAGGGTTTTATCATTGTCTATACGTGTAACGCACATCCTTATACACCCCAATTGAAAATGCATTTTATAATCATAAAACGAAAGTTGGAATTTATTTTTATGCACTAAAACATTGTTTATGTATGGACACAGTTATACTAATTGCTTGGTGTGAACATCTTACAAATCCACACAATGACCTCAAAATTACGGCTTAGCCTGCAACTGCAAATGTATGCTTCATTATGGCATTGCGCTGTCACAATACCACAATGATGAAAGATGGTGATGATCTCAAATTCTTCTTTTTTTAATTAATGGCTTATCTGCGCATTTCACACAATAAATAAATAAATTATTACGTGTAACATGAAAATGAAATGAATCAAAGATGGCGATCGCGTATTTAAGCCAAATTGCAATAAGATAATCATCCACTGACACTCATGGTTGTACCATATGTCATGTTTATTTGTGGTATATTTTTTTTCTCTTTTTTTATAGACTATTTTTCTCTTTGCTTTATGAACTCGTGCGTCATGGCGTTTTAGAGCGTTTTAGACTAAAGTCACATTAAAAGAAAGCTTATTTTTCTTGTTTTTATTTCTATGTTATATTTTATTACAAGCTAAGAATAGAGTATTTTAAAAAACCTCATTATATGCACTTAACTTTGTTTTTGTTTGTAACGGCTGTGATAGTCACAGGTGATCAAAATTCACTAGATTCCATTTAAATTTAGCAAAAAAAATACTTATATTAGAAGT